GCTCCGGGTCTGTCTTCGAGGTATTTCCTTCGCACATTAGGAGACGGCACACCCGCTCACTGGGTCAGCATTTATTATTGCATACTGTAGTGTGATGAACAGCAAACGGGGTAGACCCCATAGTCACAGGGACCTGCTGTTCACTCACGGAAACCGATAACTTGAGCCCCAGGACTTGGAGTGGCGAACCACAAAAGTCCCCGCTAGGTCAGGTGTGGTATTGGTGTAGGGATAGTACTGAACAAAAAAGCTAAAGCCCCTATGGTAGATTGGATACCTGTCAAAGTCGTTTGTGCGCCATGAGCCTACAGGGATCAGTTAGTGCTCGGAAAGGCAGCAACACCAAAAGATGTTTGTTCATCATTTCGGCGTATGCACCAACCAACTGCAGTCCCACTTCACAAAAGGATGAATATTACGACAAACTCACCGAACTGATTCGGTTGAGCCGCGGTTCTGACATTATAGTACGGGTAGGTGATTTTAACGCACAGGTTGGAAAACTGAGCGCATCCAAAGCCTGTCTAGTAGGATACTTTGCCCTTCCCGCCCAGCGAAAAGACAATGGTGATCGATTACTTCAGTTCTGCGCAGCTCACCGACTGTTCTTATCTAGCACCAATTTTCGACACAGCTCTCGTCGAACGGCTACATGGTGTTCTAGTTCAACGGGCACATTGACCCAAATTGACCACGTAGCTGTAAGCTACCGTTGGCGTGGTTCAGTACAAAATTTCAGATCCTATTGGTCCACCTGCGTTGAGTCGGATCATGTACTAGTTCTGGTGCGCTTCGCTATTCGACTCGTTGGTCATCGGCAGAAATCGCCTCCTCAGTTAGCTCACCATCGTCTGCACGATCTATCTGTCTGCGCACGTTATGAGGAGGAGCTGGGACATGAGCTAGGAGAACCGCGACATAGTGGAGTAGACCAACAGTGGAATCAGATTAGATTTACGATGCACTCAGCAGCGAACTTTACTTGTGGGACCGAGCCCGAATTTTGCCGAAGTCACTGGATCTCCTTGGAGCCAGTAATCCTGATGGATCAAAAACGAAAGATCCCAATCTGCCAGGATCAGTATAGGCATCGGTGGCGCCTGCAACGTCAACTCAGAAAAAGCCTTAAGAAAGATTGCGAAAATTGGTAGGCCGAAATAGCTAGTGAGATGGAGGTAGCTTCTGCATCAGGGAATAGTCAAAGACTCGCTTGATACGCAGCACCGGAGGTCGTCGCATACCGGTCAGTGAGATCATTTGCGATAAAAGTGGACAAAAAATCCACAATAAAAACGACTTGATCGCTGGGCAGATCATTTTAGTGAGCGGTTCAATTGGCCTAGTGCTAATGTGGTCATTCCAGCAACTGCGGCGGAAACTCCATGGGTGGTAACATGCGGGCCCCCATTAGAATCGGAAGTACGAAGCTGCATTCAATCATTAAAGAGAGGAAAGGCTGCGGGACCTGATGGGCATCTCCCTATTCTTTTTAAAGTGGGCGATAATTCTCTTGTCGGCTCGATTACTAGCTGCCAAGTAATCGCAGCATTTGGACGGAGGATCGTATCCCTTTGTCCTGGGGGGAATCGGTGATCGTCCGTATTTTCAAGAAGAGATCACGCAACGACTGCGCTAACCACTGTGGGATTAGTTTAGTTCCGATAATCACAAAAGTGTTGACTTCTGTGATACTTCGCCGCCTGACATCCTTAAGGGAGAGGAATATCCGTGA